ATTATGCAAAAACTGGACCAGACAGAACAGCGCTTGTCACTCCATTGGAAAGAGACAACTCTGTTCTAAATCAACAACTTGTTCTTTATCAACACCTGTTTTTATTCGCAAATTTTTTGGGGCTCTGCCGTCTCCTTATGGAAAAGTAGTGAATTTCAATGAGTAAAAATTGGCCGAATGCCGGATTGTCACGAAAAAAAAGCACCAATAAGAAAAGAGCTTATCTTTAAGATCAGCATCAACAACTTCAAAAGTGAGGGCCTGATAAACTACAAAATAACTAAAATTTTGTCGTCTAAAACTGCTTTCTTGTGGCAAACTGTGCAACCTCTCAAAGGTATTTTTCGTTTTGCTTATACGCCTGCAAATAAATGTACTTCTTATATTTTTGCCTTGCTCCTTAGGAAACGCTATATGCAAAAGCAACAGCGTAGGAAAGCAAAACGTAAAATAATCCTTTTCTGTTTGTTAGCAGAATGTCGGGAATAAACACCCAATGTTCAAAAAATAAAATCCTGTTTACAAAAGTTCTTTTGCTTTCCTCCAATCCGTGCAGTACTCCTTAGGAAACACATTGGAAAAACTGAGCGCAAGTCATTATCTTTAGCGCGATTGAAAGCGATTTAATCAATCTTTTACAAATTCCTAATTTGCTATTAAATAACAATAAAAAGAGTCGATATTAAAACGTGTTTCCTTTTATTTGAACCCCCGCCCACAATGAAATCCTGTTTACAAAATATCCCTTTGCTTTCCGTCATTTTAGAGCTTTGCTCCTTAGGAAACCCCTGAGGAAGCAAAACCTAAAATCCTTGACTCCTATTGGTCATCAGAATGCCACGATTTCCACCCATTGATTCTGATTCGATCTCGATCGATCTCGGCCCAACGAAAGGGTTTGCAATAAAATGTACTTTTGATTTAAATATACGACCCTAAACAACTTCAATTGAAACCTGTAATTTGTCATATTTTCAGACACCATGTTTGTATATAGGTTTTTTAATTTGTAACTCTGTAATTATTTCTTTTGCTTTTTTAAAATTAAATTTTGGAAAATATTTAAAAAATTGTGAGTTTTCCTTGACGAATTGCGATTTGACGGGGACCCATTACTAACCGACCCAAACTAACGGCAACGTTGTAAATGGCGGCGTAATAACCTGCGCGAAAAAATTGTTGATTTTCCTCAGTTTCGGGCAAGCATTTGGCGTTATCTTTAAAGTTCGGTAAACAAAATGCTGCTTTTATTGTGAATCGAGTGATTTGTAATCGTGCAAAGACCGTATCGTTGCGTTCGATCGATTTGTATGGCCCCAGTGTGCTATGGAGGGCGACAAAACAGCCGACAACGAGAAGGAATTAACCTCAACAAGCAGTTCGGCTATGGGACAGCAGCTCCTGTCAACAAATGAAGAGGAAAAAAGCGATTCAAATGATACTTTACCGACCTCGTCGACCGATGCCAGTACTTCCATTAAATCGACCCAGCTGAGTAAGTGAGGCAATTTTCCATTAGCGGGCCTGAGTACGTGTTGCAACTTAAAAGCGTTTGAACTTGAATGACCCTAATCAACCGAAGCAAGCTTGGGGCTGTCCGATGTTTTCCCTCAAGCTCTAACTCGGTTTTTGCATGGATTTTACCAGTAGAAGCTTGAACAGCTTCCTCATTCAACTAGATACGAAGTTCGCTTGTTGCTGTACAGCAAGCAAACCCCGAAAATTCCACTTACAAAATGCCAATATTCGAGCTCATTTCCTCAAAATGCCAAATTCTACGACTTTTACCCCAATTTTGATAAATCCGCCAGTACTTAGTTGCCGTGTACTGGCGGATTTTAGTCCCCTTTCATTCAAACCAATCTGTGTCGAGTTAGAAGCTTTTTCCATTTTCCTTACGCTAAGAGGACTTTGCAATAAAGCCTTTGTGTCCAAATTATGTTTAAATTTCAGACGAATAAAACCAAGTAATCAATTAAAACCATATTTATTTAACATCCAACACAATTACTAATCCATTAGCTATTTCAATGGGTCTACGTGACGATATCCACTTTCCAAATCCATTGACAACGCTCCTTTCCTGCTCAGAATAAGTGGCTAGAATCTCCCGGATTCGGATAGCGCAGAAAAATCTTATGCAAAGTCCTCACTTATTTCATGGTTTTAACTCAACTCGTTTTTCTCTAACCATTGTAAATTAATCAATTCCATCTTTTTAATCACCGTCCACAGTTTCTGATGATCCAATCAGTAGCACATCCTCAGAAATGGATCCGTCCAAGTCGAAACCTGCAGCGGATCAATTATCTTTTGATGTCGATAAAGGCGTTAATTGCTTCGACACCGATGTTGAATTGTTTGGAATGTCGATTTCCACCGAACGCTCTGAAGCAATCGAGGAAAATGTTGACGATCTAGTCAACGACTTGGAAACCCTTCTAGGAGAGTCTACCGATGACTTTAATGTCCCGAAAAATTCTCCCAAAAGCGGTGAGGAATCAACTCGTTAGTTTCCATTCGTTTGAAATAATCTTTGTTCATTATTTGTGTAGGGGCTTCCGCTATTCAAGAAGAAATCAGTCAAAATGCTACTGATAAAGTAGACACGACGGTTTCTTCGGAAAAATCCATTGAAGAAAAACTGAAGGAACAAAATGATGTTGTTCAAGACGAGGGCGAACAACCTCTGCAAATGGCTGAAGAACCAATTAAGGATTCCCCACAAGTCAGCAGCATTCCTGCTGTGGATTTAGAAAATACTGCCAATCAGGACTATGAAGTTGGCGAACAAAATACACAACAAGATGCAACACCTGAAAGTACTCCAGAAGTTCCACAAGGAGAAGCAGATGAATCTATTGAAGCGCCAGAAGCGCAAATGGGAGAATCTGATCTTTCAAGCACAAAAGACCACAAAGAAGGGGCTGTTGTTGTGTCTTCCAGCCATTCCCCCCTATTGCAGAGCACTGAACAAGAGATTCCCATAGCAGAAGAAGATCCTACCCAAACTGAGGATAAAGAAGAAAACATCACAGCTGAAATATCAAGCGCATTGACCATCTCCATAAGCGCCCAAGAAGAACCGAACAATTTCAATTCAGGACAGCAGGATGAAGAAATTCCAAAAGATGCCAAAACGGGGCAAATAAATCCGCACGATGCTGAACCCGTTGAAACAAAAATTGTTGTCGAGGAAGTGAAAGATTTGCAAGTACCAAACCAGGAAATTACAGAAGAAAACCAGCAAGAAATATCGGCGCCAACCGTTTCAGAAACAGAGCATTCGAAAGTAGATGCATTATTATTACACGTAGAAGAACCTATGCAGATTGACGACGAGGCCATAGCAAGTGAAGAGACTTCAAAACCCGACAAAGAAGAACTTACCATTGAAGTAGCCATTCCAACTCTAAATATCGAAATGACTTCTACAGATAAATTGAAAGAAACTCCAGAAATTCAAGCAGATATCGAAATGTCTTATGCAAAAGAAACTATCGAACTTCCAACAGATATCGAAATGGTTTCTGCAGAAGAGCCCGAAGAAAGCAGCAAACCTACAACAGATATCCAAATATCTTCTGCAAAAGAACCCAAAGAAACTATCGAACTTCCATCAGATATTGAACTGGTTTCTGCAGAAGAACCCAAAGAAACTATCGAACTTCCAACAGATGTTCAAATATCTTCTGCAAAGGAACCCAAAGAAACTATCGAACTTCCATCAGATATTGAACTGGTTTCTGCAGAAGAACCTAAAGAAACTATCAAACTTCCAACAGATGTTCAAATATCTTCTTCAAAAGAACCCAAAGAAACTATCGAACTGGTTTCTGCAGAAGAGCCCAAAGAAACTATCGAACCTTCAACAGAGGTCCAAATATCTTCTGCAACAGAACCCAAAGAAACTATCGCACTGGTTTCTGCAGAAGAGCCCAAAGAAACTATCGAACCTCCAACAGATGTCCAAATATCTTCTGCAAAAGAATCCAAAGAAACTATCGAACTTCCATCAGATATCGAAATGGTTTCTGCAGAAGAGCCCAAAGAAACTCTTGAACCTCCAACAGATGTCCAAATATTTTCTGCAAAAGAACCCAAAGAAACTATAGAACTTCCATCAGATATCGAAATGGTTTCTGCAGAAGAGCCCAAAGAAACTATTAAACCTCCAACAGATGTCCAAATATTTTCTGCAAAAGAACCCAAAGAAGCTATCGAACTTCCATCCGATATTGAAATGGTTTCCGCAGAAGAACTCACAGACATTGCCCAACCTCAAACAGATCCAGTTGTGGATGAATTGCCAACAACTATCCAAGATACAGATCAAAAGCCTTCTGACATTGTCCAGCCAGAAAGCGATGGCCAAGTCGTTGACTTGAAACATGCAAATAAAGATGAGGCACAGTCCATTGAGACTGTGTTGGATCGGACGGAAGATTCGTTACAAGCCGAAGAAAATCAAATACAACCAAAGGAAGAAGAAATTCAGTCCACAGAAAATCTGGTACAAATTGCAGAAGATGTGCTGGGATCAAAAGAAGTGGCAAGTTTTGTAGAAGAAGCTGCGATAGACAGTGCAAAGGGTCCGGAAGAAAAACCTGCAATTGAGCCAACAGAGGCACTTGAATGTATTACCCAGGAAGCTGAAGAAAGCAAAGATGGTACAGTAATCCAAGATAGGGTTATCAATCAGCCTCAAAATGGATGTGAAGCTTTGCAGACATCGGCAATTTCAATGAAGGAAAATATTGAGATCGAGGAAGTGACTGATGATTTTGAAAACACTGAAATCGTGGAAATTCCTGCAGTAGTGGAAGAGCCAGAAGATGAAAATCCAGTAGTTCAAGAGCCGAAAGTTGATCGAGAAGATGGTATTGTTGAGATCACGAATGAGCAAATTGCTCAGGAGCATTTAGAGGAAATTCAGGTGGAGCGCGAAGTGGCTAGTTCTGATCAGAAACTGTCCTTAGATGAGGAAATAACTAATTCAGTTGTCTCTGAAGGAGATGCTGTGGCTAAAACTGATGACTCTTGTGAACAATTACCAGATTTTATGCTATCAAAAGTAACTGTTTCAACAGAGGGAAACTCTCAAGTGGCGAAAAAAGTCGACTCTGTGGAAGAGACATTAACAGCGGCGAAAGTGAAGGAAGTGGTAAAGACGGAAAGTACAGCAATTTTGGAATCACAGGACGAACATGCTGAAGAACCCCCATCAGACAATGTGATTGCGGACGAAGCGACTATCGTGAAGACTGAAGAATTGTCGGTTGCTGATAAAACTGTGAGTGATAAAATCGAAGACACCACTAAGCCAGTGGAACATGAGTATGTAACTCTGCAGAAAAATGCGCAAAATCTGCTTGAATCAGCGAAAACTAAACCCGAAATAATGATCAGAAGGAAAACTGTGGAACAGGACTTAGAAAAAGTGGTTTGTTTGAGTGAAGAATCATCTGACTCGGACTGCAATGGGCCAACTAGCGATAAACCCCTGCAGGATTTGCCAGCATTAGATGAAGACGCCAATTTAATTAAAATCGCTACTGAAGTTGAGCAATTTTCCGACCCAGAAATGCCTATAGAAGAAAACATTCCGATCGAAGAAAATGCGCCAGCCGAAGCTCAGCCTGATGTAGAATCCATAAACGCTGCATCGAATTTGGAGACTCTTTTAGCAGTGGCGTCATTACAGAACGAATCTGTTACTGACACCAGAGAGCATCGACGGTTAAGCGAAAATGAAATTAGGGAAATGGAAGCCATCAGAATGGCGGTTGCAAGCATTACTGATAGCTCTCAAGACACTTACGATAGCTTCATGGTGGAAAATGTGATGACCATGGATAACAGTGCTCAAGACGAGCAAGATGTGCAAGAAATCTCTAATTTGCCCGCAGAATTCATTGCAGAGGACACTAATATAGAAGAAATTGCGGGAAATAACAAAACCGGCGAAGACGCTGCATGTGCAACCGCAGTGGTTGACAGCAATACCTCGTTACAACAGAGCACTGTAAAACTTGAGGAAATCGCAGAAAACAATACTCCCATCGCTTCTACTGCCACTCCGGTTAATACAGACGATCCAGATCCAAGTACAATTGACGATAATTCCCAGGCCTATGAAGATAACATTCCAGAAGGATCCAGTAATGCCCCAGAAATTGTCAAGGAGAATGAGGACGTTTCATCTGCAGGGGCTGCTGTCAAAGACGAAACGCCTTTGTTGGCAAACATTGAGCAATCTTGTGTGGCTTCGTCCACCTCCAAATCACCGAATCCGGCAGTTGAAATACCTGAAAAGAACACTGAAACTGACAAAGACCCTGAAGTCCCTACTCCAGGTCCGGTGCAAATCCTGCACGATCCAGTGGTAATTCCGGCGGTTGTAGATGAACCCTCCGAAGATGCAGTACACTGTGAAGACAAACCACTTCACAAAAGCACCGACATCGAAGAGCAGGTTGCGGCTGAAATTCCTTCAATGACACTAAACGAAAAGAACATTCTAGCGGCTGACTCCGCGATGGATTCTCCTGCAGTGAGGCAGTTGGTTGAAGAAAAACCTCCCAGAAATCGCTCAAAGCGTTCGACTAAAATCAGCGAACCGCTCACCATCAACGTAGAGGAAGTGGAGAAGAAGGAAAAAGTGTATAGCCCCAAGATCACCATTAAGCCACTGAAAGTGCCAGATGAAGAAGTCAGCACCACTTCAGAAGCGGACGCAAGCAAGGGTAGCTTGAAAATGACCATTACCAAGCAGTCAGATAAAATGCATTCAATTCTTAAGCTGTATAATCCTGAAGAAGAGCAGGACATGCTTTCTCAGACCCAAGAGGAACCGATTCCAAAATTGATCATAAAACCCAAATTGCAACAGGTTGAACAGCAGCATAGTCCAAAAATGACTACTCGCAGCGCCAAAGTATGTTCGCCAACTAGCACTCGATGTAGCAGTCCGAGGATCACAATAAAACCAGTTACTAAACCTGCAGAAGCTAAACTTGACGTTCTCAGCCCTTTGAAGATCACCATCAAACCTGTGATTAAACCTGACGACGCATCAAGGAAACACAGCCCTAAGGTAAAACCAATTTCTTCACCAAAAAAGTTTTAACTCACTTTTTTTTAATCCCTCTAGGCTGTAAAGGATGCAGATCAGCTGAAGAACCACAATCTGAAAATCACCATAAAACCAATTCCTAGACCGGTGGAAGAAAAAGAAGATCTCCGCCCGTCAACACCAAAGTTGATTATCAAGCCAATACCAAAACCAGTAGAAGGATTGGCTAAAGAAGAGCTACCAGTCTGCACACCAAAGTTGACGATTCGAGCTTTGAAAAGGCCTTTGGAAGAAACTGACCTGGACAACGAACCTGAGAGATCTAGCCCTAAAATAACAATAAAGCCTTTGGTATGTTTCTCTACTACTTAACGCTGCTCCTTTTTTAAGTTGGACTTTTCCAGGTGAAACCAGCCGAGCACGATTCAGCGCACCAATCTATTCAAACTACTCCCAAGATTAAGATTAGGCCAGTGCGAAAGCACGATGACGGCGATTTTAGCAACGAAGTCGATCGCGAAGAAGGCAGCCCTAAAATTTCCATTAAACCCCTGGTGAAACCTCCAGACATCGAGCCGGATGACGATGAGGAAGTTAAAGAGCGAATCGTGTTGAAGATTAACAAAGGTGAGATTGGATGGCGATTTCTAAAGTGGCTCGACAAAAAATGTGGTTTTTGCAGGAAATCTGCCATTAAACAAAGAGTCAAAGAAGCGCGAGCATCCAGACGAAGACAAGGGGGAAAAGGTGGGTATAAAATTGAAGTTTTCCACTACTGGCGGACATACGCACATTGTCCAGGAAAAGGAAGATGGTAGTAAAAGACAGCGGAAAGACAGTGGATACTTGAGTAGCGCAGGTAACTAATAAACACTGAGCAGATAAAATGGGGTTTACAATATCTGGTTATTAGCTAAAAAAGAAGCTGAAGAAAATTCACACAAGCGGCCAATAGAGGACAAACTTCCAGAAAAATCCAAAAGACTGCGCAGTGCTTTAACTCCGGATAACTTGGCCGAAAGCTGCGCTGTAGACAAACTGGACCCGAAAATTCCATATCCATTGGCTGGAATCAGCGAAGACAGGTAAACAACTTTCAATATCAAAAATATAAATAAATATATGCTACTAAGTGACAACTTGCAGATCGCAAGTCAGTAAAAACTCCCTGCATTCCGAGACGCCAGACATTTCGAAGATTGCGGCTCTGGCCGCGCAAACCACCCACATAGAGGCTCCTTCAGTTGTAACTGTCGGCATTGCCACTCCCACAGTTACTCCGGGCCCTAAGAAAAGGGGACGACCCAGAAAAGTGCCCCTGAAGTTTCGAGAAGATTCTGACGCAACGATTTCTTCGCCAATTACTCCTCAAACCACTCCCTCTTCAGATCCTTTAACTCCTGTGGGAAGTGAATCCATGATTGTGGAGCCTACATCTTCAGGAGGCCGGCCGAAACGCAGTTGTAGAGGTAAATTGTTTGTTTTTGTCTGAGCGTTTTATGCTGGTTGCTAGAGTGTCTATTTCTGCTGAATTCTAGCAGTAGTGAAGAGTAGGGTAAAGATTTTTAATTAAATTCTTCAGGTGCATTTAGCAGGTTTTTTGGGTTGTTTGCAGGTCAGAATGTGATGGCTACATTGGGAATCAAGCCGAGGAAACCCCGAGGTCGAGGGCGCGGAAGCAAAGTGAACATGGGAGATCGTGGACCACAAACTCCAGTTTCCCAAGTTTCCGTCGAAATCACTGCGGAAGTTCCAGCTAAACCTGACAAGGTGAGTTTTTGATTTTTTTTGGCGATTGTGTCGTTTGTCTCCGACCCTGTGCTTGTTTTGAGAAAATTCTTGAATAATTTAATATCTTCTTCCGCCGAATCTCTTAACATGTTTATAACTGATTAGATTTTTTGGGTTCATATGCACATTTGGACAAAAACACTCCGACTAAATTGTTAGTAGATAGTAAATGTCGGAAAGTAGATATTCTCAAATCAATGACACAGAGGTAGAAATATAGGAGAAGGAATTGACTGGGTGTTTTCTCTCTCCCCCAGGTTAAAAATAAGAGTAAAAGGAAAAAGAAAAAAAGTCGCAGGAGATCGGATTCGTCGTGAATAGTCGGCCGTTACTGTTTTAAGTTTTATTGGAGTCTTATTGGCAGTTTAAAATCGGTTTACTTCGCAATATATTCATCGTTTCATCCTGTATAAAACAATCCATTGTAAATAGGCCACTAAGAATCTGCTCATATGAGCAGATATGTATTATTTATATTGGGTGTATGCTTCGAAGAATCCGTAGTGGAAATTTTCTCAAAACGTAGTTGCCCAATATTATTTCTTTTGTTGTATTTTATAGATGTTTGATGAGCGGCACATTAAATTCTATACTGTTGAGCTTGGATGGAAGTCCTTTTTTCAAATTAACATTGCTTTCAAGAAGCGCAGCCCTTTAAAGATAGTGTTATTGCTATTAGAGTTATTGATTCAATTTATTTCAATCCAAATAACTACAGTTCGTTGTAAACTCGCGATCTTGGCTTGAAAGTGATGTTAAGGGCTATTATTATATTTATATATACATATATATATACGAATACATGTCTAATTTAGATAGATTACTGCCTAGAACCGGGTTTGTTCTCCTACTGTTTATCGGCTAAATTTATTTCTGTTATATGTTGAATAAGGCAAGTCTCGTATAATAAGTTTGTTTGATAGTTCGTATTTTTCTACTTGATATCAAAACAAAAAGGCTAAATAAATGTTGTTATTTCCGAATAAACCGTGACTTTCCATGCCAAAATAACACACAATTGCCGAAGGTCGACTGGTTTAAGTTGATACAGTTTTGTATGAGCGCACCTTGGAGAATCAGTGCAAGATGCTTGATGATATGTTTAAATGGACGTCATACGCGGAACACACATTTACACTTCACTTCATATCTGAGCTAAAAATAACGACGCTAATAATTCCCCCGCTGGGCCATATGAGAATGTTTTAGTTTGGTTTTACTCGATTTTCGAAGTATTTATGAAGATTTTCAACCGGAGAATTATTTTTTATTTAACTGTTTATTGCTGGTTTTTCATTAACTAGCTTTGTTTGCTGATGGACATTTTTACGCCTAAAACACTCCTAGGTGCTCCGCCTGTACACTAATCAACAACAAAAATTACGTTGTTTGAAGCAATTGAACTGATCATGGCGCTCATATTTCTACATAAAAATAATCCTATTTTCACTTAATCCATTTTAATTGCGATCGGCCGCACCACGATGTACCAATTCGAATATCGCCTGAAAATAAACTTGAAACGTGGAAGTCGACATCGAAATAAACCGGCATTGTAGTCCCCCAGCCAGTACTTGTGCGTCATTTTCTCGATATCAAGGAAATTCGAATTTGTTGCGACTATTTGATCTCATCTGGTAGATGAATGTGGTCAATTCGTTGTTGTAAGTCACTCAGGTATTTATGTATGTGTTTATTTACCTAAAGTGCAACAATGTACAAAAGTTTTTAAAAAAAATCACAATTTTGTCGTGCCATAGGCGTAGTTGGATAAATATTTACTTTGCATTAATTCAACACAATGATTTTTTTTCAATGGAAGGTGGATTGACCTTTCGCTCTACCGGCAGCAGCCAGCTAAAGAAACATGTTTTTAAGATAGTAAATTGAGTAATTTTATGCGTATAAATAGATATTACCCAACAAGCGGGCTTGATTACAAACATAAACATGACGAGATATTGAGAAAACGAGTTTTCAAGTGCATGTTTCAAGCGCACGGAATTTATATAACTGTCTGGGAATTGTTTACTTTCTTCGTGATAACACCGCTTAATTTCCAGTAAGTGTGTTATTTCAGTAGCACGTAAATAAGTCGCAAATTGCATTTAATTACTGTGACTCATTGAACTCGATGTGTGGGTAATAATTAACATTCCCAACTTAAAAAAGAAGACACGATGCTGTATGAATGCGGAACTTGAAAACACTTTGTACACTTTAGTAAATAACTCGTCATCTACCTAATAATCATCCACAAAGTAAGTTGAGAACATGGCACGGATTCTTTTCCCCAGGGAGTCCGTACCATGTTCTTTCCCTAGCGATTGAATATTAGAGAGCGGCTCTCATTTAAGAGTTTGGAACAAATATGAGCGGACCATCAGGCTCCTTGCATTTCGTTCTGAGGTAGAGGCAGAAAAAGTGAAACGTTGTTAATTCATCAGTTATTAATATTAGGAACATTCCACTCATGTTTGTGAAAAGCTCTTAACTGACTAAAACGGTTTTTTGTCTTGCAGGCGGAGAAAGGGGCCAAAGCGAAATTGAAATTCGGGCGCAAATCTTCGGAAAAGGAAATCCTGAATCAGGATACGGAAGCAAAGGCAAAGCAATCCCCAAAAGGCGCCCGAGAATCAGTCGGGAAAGAGGTGGGTGTGTTTTATTAAGTGCACAGTCTTTCAACTAACTAGCCAACTTTGCAGGGAAGCAGTCAGGAGGAAAACACAGATGTAGATGCAAAAACTGCAGAAGCCACCCAGGAACACAGTTTTGAAGAATCGCTGAAAAGAAAGTGTGAAGACTCCGAAGACCACGCATCCAAGAAGAAGAAGGATGACAAAACCCCCACTAGGAAGCTAGAGGCAGGTTCCACCCACCATTTTCATCCGCCATAATTTTCCCGATTTCCCACAGGTAACCACACGGAGGCAAAAGGCGCAGCTTCAAAGAAAATCGGAGGATTTCACTCCGGCAGACGCCGCTCCAAGCAGCTCCCAACCAACACTTTCACCTGATACAACTGCCATTCCACCACCGGCTCCCTATAAACAACCCTTAACAGAGCAGGAAAAATTTGTGGAATTAAACAGCAAAAACTACCCAGATATTACCATTACTAAGAGCAAAAGTGTGCCAACAACTGCAGAAATACCAATCGAGGAACCGGTTGAAGTGGGTGTCGTAAAGCCTGAAGAACGACTGAGTATTGACAGCAACTCCAAAAAAGAAACCGCTCTTGATGAAGAGGACGATGAAGATCTAGGACAAGACGGGGAGACTATTGAACTTGGAGACGATAGTGAATCTGAGCGGCAACGCGAGCATGTTTTGCAGGTATAATTAATGCTGCAGCCATGCTTTGCGGCTCTAATCCAATTTAATCTCAGAAAAAGCAAGAAGCCATCAAGAAATGCCGCGCCAAGCGAATGGAGAAACTAGCACGGGCCGCCGAACTGAAGCGGAAAAGACAGGAGCAAGCAGCGCAGCAACGCGAAGCAAGAAAAGCTGCAGAAGAAGCGGAAAGAGTTGCCACTGAGAAAGCACGAGCCACTAAAAGGTAAGCTCGCCTAGATGTTGGGAAGGCCACAACTACATTTTTGTTCCAGATATGGACGGTACGGTGTGCCCAAGCCGCAAATATCTCTAATCGATGCCCCTCTGCCAGAATCAGCAGGAACTGTGAAAAGTCACGTGGTAGAGTCGCCGACTAAGCCGGCGAATCAACCCGCTTCCATTGAAGACAAAGCGGAGAAAGAGGTAAAACTCGCTTCAGCCACTACTGATTTGGCCCTCACTTTGAGAAAATTGCAGCCTTTGAAGAATCTTGAAGGGCATTTTACCACCAACAAGTCGCCGCAGAAGTTGCTCTTTTCGGAACCGATGGTAGTGGATGCTCCTGAAGAATCTCCCGCCAAAATAAGGCGATCGCTTGCACGGGAAGATGTTGTAATGGTGGATGAAGAAACTAGGATGAGTGCGGACTTTAGAGGTGGATGAACGGTGTGATGGTGTTAGTTTTTCGGAGTTGAGCGTGTCGGTTGTTTTCAGGCTCGAGATCACAAACTCCGGCTAAACAGAGCGCGCAGCCTGCAGATATTATGGTGGAAGACTCTCAAGGAAGCATCGGGACTGAAGGGGGCAAATCGCGAAGCTCCAAAGCGCCCAAAATGGAGGTACCATCCAAGCCCCAAATCCTGTTTAGTGCGCCCTTATTCCAGCTGTTTTCCAGGTATTTCAGGATCTCGAATCCGCCGCTTACTCTGCCGATCAGCTGGCGGAGTACTCGTGGAACGGACAAGGTCCGTTCATGATCCAAGAGCAAGTAAGTTTCCGGTTTCCGGTGTGAAGGAGTGTTTGGTAAGTCGTTCTTTTCCCAGGTGACGCAGTATTTGGGAATAAAATCCTTCAAACGGAAATACCCGAACATGACCAGACGTGCCGTGGACATCCAGGAACGGGACTACTTGAAGGAAAGCGGCCAAGTGACAGAAGGACAGTGCGATCTGGGCCTAACGGCGGTGGCCGCTCAAGATATACTGGATATAATGTATGCAGATTTTCAGGTGGGCTTTGCCATAAATCGCACAATTTCAGGTACAAGCCGTTCAATTTACAGGACAAGTACGAGGATTATTGCAAGGCTCAGCGAGAGAAACAAGCCAGAGAGTTGGCCAACAAGCAAAAGGCTTTGAATCAATTCACGCTGAAGCCTGGCTTTGATAAGCTGGATATTCTAGAACAGGCCGTTCAATCGGCCGCCGCATGGAATTCTCAGTTTAACAAGGTAAGCTGATTACTTTAGATTTTTGTGACATTCTCTAAATGCCTAGTCGATAAGTAAGAATCTTTTTTAACTGATTCATTTTCCTGACTGCGTGTACTTGTTATTATATTCTTATCATTCCTGGGTCTCAGTCAAAGTGTGAAGTAAAAGTAAAAATTTTGAATATCGTTTATTTCATTACGTTTCGGCGAGACAACAGCGCCTTCATCAAATTTAAAATTTACTCAAACTATAAACACCAATTCACAATTAAAACATGTATAAAAGCTATAATTTATAAAAAGTTGAAACGTTCTTTTAAGTATTTGCCTTCTTGAAACCTTAAATTTGTCTGAATTATTTTCTACATTTGCGAGAATGGTATTGAGATAAGCAAATAGAAAACATGCAAAAGCAGTAAATTTCAGATCAGATATCGAAAACCTTAGCAACATTTACCAAACCCTAATAAAGCCATAAGTATAGAACACCCAGTACACTAGTGAAAAATTAAAACTATTTCTGCTTATCTCAATACATACGTACCACTCTCGCAAATGTAGAAAATAATTTAGACAAATTTAAGGTTTCAAGAAGGCAAAGACATAAAAGAACGTTAATATTTACCAATTATGAGGTAAGTTTTTCAAATGTTTTGCTCTCCCAAAACGAGGAATTTTTTCCCTTAAGAACTGATGAATGTTTTAACGCTTTATAAATTAAAGTTTTTATACAACATGTTTTGACTGGTGAATTGGTGTTTGTAGTTTGTGTAAATTTTAAATCTGATGATGGCACTGTTGTCTCGCCGAAACGTAATGAAATAAACGATATTAAAAAAATTTACTTTACACTTTGACTGAGAACCAGGAAGGATAAGAATATAATCTTTTTTAACTACTAATCTTTTTTTGCTTTTACTGCATTTCCTTAGGGAGGAGTCATATTTCCCTCCCTAGGTCAACAATAATAATAATAATAAAAATAAGTTCCTAGGGAAATAATGAAATATGTGTCAATTTTCCCTTATTTTTATTTTGCCCACTTGTCTAAGTTCAGGCGAGATTCCATCCGTTTCCACTTCTGAATCACGGTCACTTTAAGATCCACTAATTTTTCGCTCTCCCAGATATTTTTCGTAGAACTATTTTCAATTTTCTGGAGATCGATAAATTATTTTGCGGCAGTTTGGGTTAGCATGCAAATATTGCGAGACTTCAGAAAATTAATAGAAACTTCAAAATTTAATTAAGGCAATTATCCGGTTTAGAAGAAAACAATATTATAAATACCTCGCACATTATATCCTCTATACTATTATTTGAGTATTTGTAAATTTACCAAAGGCAAGGAGAGAGCAAAGAAGAGCACACATGGACCTGCAAAACTGGTCGATTCACTACCCAAAGTCGAAAATGAAGGTTCTGCCAGCGCCGAAAATCGGTCACTATCCGATCGCGTTGGTGCCGGGCCAATTCACCGATTACTATAGAGATTACACGCCGACTGAGCTAAACAACTTGCCCCTAAACACCATGTGCTACGACGAAATAAAAGTGTCGCGTCCGCCTGCCCAGTCGGAGGAGTCGAGCAACGGCTCGGACTCAGACTCTGAGTCCAGTTCAGGATCGTCCAGCTCGGGATCGTCGTGCGATGACGCCAACTGCAAGGAATGCGATAAGAAAGTGAAAAAAACGAAGGAACTGCGCGAAACCGACTCGGATGATGTGGTTTTTGTGGAAAATGATGCGAGTAGCAGTGATTCGGTTGTTCTTGTTAGTGTAACGTCAGCGCCAGTGACTGCTTAGAAACTCCATGTTCAACTGGGGCGTTAAAAATTATATTTTTTATTTTAAATGTTGCAAGCATCCGCAGGATTATTATGTGTGTTACTTAAGAGGCATGAAATTTACTGATGATCCTGTATATACAATTTTGTTTTGCAATTAATACACTTCATAAAAAAATCAGCCAAGTTGTTCATCTCTTCAGCACCTCGATAAACGTATCGCGCGGTACTGATATGTTGGCGATCATTCTCATTTTTTTCTTCCCCGCTGCTTGTTGCGCTAGAAGCTTTTTTCGCCGCGTTACATCACCTCCATACTGAAATTATAGTGTTTGGAAACGTTTACTCGGCTATACATAATGTGTTTTTAAGTGCAAGAGAAACAAGAAGTTTTGCAATTCTTACCAGCCACTGCGTCACATCTTTCCTAAAAGGCTTAATGTCCTGTCGCGCCAACACTTTGCTCCCTATACAAGCCTGAATCGCTATGTTAACCAGTTGTCTGGGGATTATGTCTTTTAGCCGCAAAGCCATGCTTTTCCCAATGGTTTGTGCCTTTGATAAGTGAACGATGCTGCTTAGTTCTTCTATTGCGACGCCGTTTAAAAGGATTGACATCTGAAATTGTTGAACCTTGTACTTTTCTGGAAACTAATTTTTTCCCAGTACCTTGACCACATTGGTGCTCGCATATCCTCTGTCCTCGTAATCAAAGCTGGCATAGCCCGAGCTGATGTTTTTCAGCACATCGTGGAAGTCAATTACTATTTCACAAAGAGGTAATTCATATTGCAGCATAATTCTGTCGTTGTCTATGTTAGAGGCGCTTATCTGCACCCCTCGGCGCTCTATGCACAAGGACATCACCGGCCCCAAATAGGCGGCAGGCGTGATTATGGTGCCTATAAAATGGGCATTGATTAAAATGCCTTTTAAGTTTAGCTAGGCCTAGTTACCCATCACCATGGGTTCGAAGCATTCCTGGATTCTTTGCGGCTCGGGCCAAGCGGCAGGATTATTAATGAAAATAACATCTTTGCCGTCTTTCATGGTCTGTTTAGTCGGCTGCAACTTGACTTTGTAGATCACTGAAGGCGCTGTTAGGATGGCTTCCGTACCGTACTCCTGCTGGAGGCGTTGCGAAAACACCTCGAGGTGAAGCAAGCCTAGAAAACCTAAACGCCAACCCTGTCCCAGTGCCGGACTAGCAAAACAAACCATGGTTGCTTGATTTTTTAAATAATAATAATGATCAGACCTGTTATCAAGTTCCACGCTCACTGCCGAATCGTTGAGCGTGAGCTTTTCAATAGCGTTTCGCAGATTGATTTGCTGCGATTGGTCCATCGGGTAAACGCCCGCAAACACCATTGGCTTGATTGGGCTGAAGCCGGGCAACGCCTCAACCTGCTGGCCGGACAAATGAATGGTGTCTCCTATGTGAGCCTCTTGACTGGAGCGCATGTTGCAGCCAATCAGCCCTATTTGCCCAGCGACTCTGCAAAAAACCTACTAATTGTAACGGAGTTTGGGGTTTCTTTCAACCAACCCTCACAGCTCGTTCACTTCAATTTCCTGCGGCCTTAGTAGGGACAGCGATTTGACTTCGTACTGCTTCTTAGTGTGGCAGGACTGTATGTTCTCCCCCACTTTCAAGCGGCCGTCCTTCACCAAGACCATGGATAAGACGCCTCGGTATCGGTCGAAGGAGCTGTCGAATAAAAAGGCCCTGAATCGGGCTTCCCGGTTTACATCTGGGGGCGGCAACCGAGTTACTATTGCTTCGAGCACTGAGTCCATTCCTATCCCGAGTTTTGCGGAAACCTGCAAAAAATCACAATTCTGTGAAATATCTGTTTAAAATCCTACTGCTGTTTGGCAGTGGACGGTTTTTACGCGTCCAAAGTAAGGAAAGCTCTTTTGCCAGAAATTTTATTTACATATAAAACGAAAAGTTTTAGGAAATTTTACGCGAAAATGTAACCGGTCATAAAAGAATAGTATCTCCTGATCGGCTCAAGATAAACAGACTATCAAAGATGCAAACTACTCAGAAGACATGAGGCTACAACATTATTCCTGTCTGGGCATTACATATTTCCCGCAGAAAGATTGAAACTTTGACCAAGACAATATGATTTGCAACTTAAATAATTCTTAATAATTAAATAGTAAATACTGAGCTGATAAAACCTGAAAATTAGACGGTTTTGGCCACGTAAAAGCCGTATTTTATACAGATTTTTCGCAGACACCCTGCATTTACCCGTAAAACCTCTTTGGGGTCCATATCAAACAGACTCTCCAGCTGTTTAGTGACTCGATCGGGATCGGCGTTTTTCAGGTCGATTTTATTCAGAACTGGAATAATGATCAAATCGCTTCCAAAGGCCAAGTAGAAGTTTGCCACTGTTTGAGCTTGGACTCCGTCATTGGAATCCACCAGAAGAATCACCCCTTGGCATGCTGACAGGGATCTGGATACCTGGATTAGAAAACCATTTAGGATTATGTGTGTTCAAGTTTCAGGGCTTCTAGTGCTTCAAAGTAGTGAAGAACCTAAATACATAATGCGATGGACACGCGATTTTACGCGGCGATAGTTGAATGTACATTCGCGAAGTGGTAGAAGAATCGAGCCCGAGATTGAGATTTCTGGAGCTGAATTATAGATACAACATTCGAATATTTTTTCGCGGTCCCAAAAGCAACTCGATTATTCCTATTGGTTTCTGTCTGCTCTTTTGGAAACTTAAGAGGCAATTGTAGAATAAATAGGGCAACAAACCTCATTGGAAAAGTCCACATGCCCCGGAGTATCAATCAGATTGAGCAAATACTGCTCATTCTTGTACTCGTAGAGAAGTGAAGCAGTTTGAGCCTTCACTGTAATGCCTCGTTCCCTTTCAACCTGCAACTTGTCCAGCACCTGGTTGTTCCCACTGTTCGGCTTAATAGCCCCAGTGTGTTCCAATAAGCGATCAGCCAGGGTACTTTTCCCATGATCGACATGGGCGATTATGCTGAAGTTTCGTATCCGTTCAACAGGGAATTGAGCAAAATCGGGGGCTTCTTTGCGCTCAGAATAGCCCCTTTTTGCAAACAGCCCCGAACATCTAGCGAGTGATTGAATGGAAATTTGATTAGTTTTTAACTGAACGCACCTACGTCCTGGCCAGTTTCAGCTTTCGGTAACAATATCGCGAGTAGGAGACGAGGCACAAGTGTTTAAGTAACATTTTTTAAGTAATTTTCTCCGTGTTTAGAGGCATTTGGATCATAGATAGGTCAGATTCGGATAACCTCGCTTTAAAAATTAACAACCCGTCAAGTTGACGCGTTGTAAAGAGAATCGGTTGAAAATAAATGTCTCTAAACCACTTTTAGACTTCTCTTTGTGATTAGCATTTTCCAATAAAATTCGGTGAAGTTTAAAAAAATGTCTTGAAAAACTTTGGCGTATTAACAGGTTCGTAAATTGAGCTAATTCATAGTTCGAGAAGTTTGAGTTTCCACCGCCAGGTGAATGTTTCCGTGACATAACCTCTGTGTTTTTACTATAACCTCAAACTTGTCTTTATCTATGACCCCAAATGGATCATTATAAAAGTGCACTAAAAAACTGAAAAATTATCTCAATGGAAGCCCGGGAGGCCTGCCTGAGAAGCAGCATTGAAAGTGAAGATGAGGGCCACTCAGATGGCCCAGATGAATCACACTACATGCCGCAAAATGCCCCTAGGATTATCAACGTAAGTCTTTGGATAGTTGCAGTTTTATGTTTGAGAGCCCTATATTACAGACATCGACTGGCGCTTCTAAGCTGCGCTCTTGGCTCAACAAAACTCTAAAGATCAGAATGACTGATGGTAGGACTCTGTTGGGGGTGTTTCTCTGTACTGATCGCGACGCCAACATTATATTGGGGTCCTGCTCAGAGTACTTGCCTACTGATCCTTCTGAGTCAAATGAGGATCCGCGCATGCTGGGACTGGTAATGATTCCGGGAAAGCATATTGTGTCTGTACAAATCGATATGAATGAGTTCACGATGGATTATCAAGGCTCACTCATTGAAAGCTTAAATTATGTTTAAACTTAACATCTCTAAAGCTAGCGGTTAATGACTGAAGCCAAGAGCTGTTAAAACAATTCACTAGTAAAGCAGGTTTATTTACATACAACGTTTCAATGTTCAGTAAACAGACACAATTTCATGATAAACTCGCCTTGGCTCAAATACAGCTGATTTAGTCTTTATTTGATTGGGAATTCTGTAAAATAAGAATAAAACCCTCATAATTTCAAACTCAAATTTATTTGCATTATTGTACTACTACAGTCAGTCATTTGCTGCATAATTATCAGGCATAGTTCAGGTTCAAGTGGTTTTTTTAAGGGCTAAACTTATGCTTTGATCGGATATCCTGAACTATGTCTAATTCTATGAATTGGACTTTTCGTCTAACGGTTCATACCCATCTTTCTCAATCTTCTCCTTGTAACGCAAGTAGTTTCGTTTCCTATCAAAGTGTTTCACCCATTGCGCCGAGCAGCTGGACTCAAACAGCTTCCGGTACTCCTTGCATTGAGGCTCCGGCTTTTGTTCACTATCCAGACATTCCCAATACTTGTCTCTGGACCCCCAGCACTGCGCCCTTTGCTCTTTTGACGGAAACGACATCGCCACTGAACAACGCAACCGCCGGATTCTGTCGCCGGTCGAAAATTTTAATCTAGCGTGGAATTAAAACACTCAAAATAGCTTGGACATGGCAGGCTCGGATAAACTAAAAATAAATATCATAAATTGTCTTTTGATCCCGACATTTCAAACACAAACGTTTCCGTTAGTGCGTGGGCCATTTGAAAGTGTGCATTACCTTCGACTGTGTGAACGAAAGCAATTAATTTTTATTTGTAATATTGAGGGAATTTTCCTATATCAGGAAAGTTTGGTTAGGGCTAACCCAAATAGTATGTAGTCTGTGGGGCGTCGAACGCACTGCGGAACGTTAAATAAGATGACATTGTCCCGCTGCTTGCCAGATTTCGGCAAAAGTTTGCAAGAACCATCCAAAATAATTGACTAATTTAACAGTCCCTATCAAAGGGTTTAAAAGTTCTTGTCAAACTTTGTTCACAAACCTCTTTCAACCCTCCGATAGGGGTAGCTCGATTAGCCAATTTTTTCATATTTTTTTTGGTTTTGTGTTCGATTAAATCCGGCAAGCAGCGGTAGAGGTGTTTTGAGGACAATGACGTCTCCATTGACGTTCAACGTCTTAACCAAACTTTCCCTATTCCTCGTTACCTGTCAAAGATGTTTCCTTGGAGCTCCATGGGCCCCTTAATCTAAAATATGACCATAGCTATACTGTTAGCTGAGTATAGTTGAACCGTGTAAACTGCCCTAAGATGAGAACAGCAATTTCTGAGACAAACTCGGTGGAAAAGTGTGCATCCAAACTGGAGAACCAGAGCGACCATAAAGAGTGTGTGAAAAATGGTCTAGTGAATGGATTGGTGTACAAAACCAAGGCCAAAATGAGCCTAAATCACGGTGGTGAGGCTGTCGAACTCCATGGAGACATTATAGATCTGAAGGAGAGCAGCGCGATTTTGCAACTACACCCCAAACCCTCACAGGACGATGATGTAAATAATGTAGATAAATCAAAGAGAAAATCCAAGAAACGCAACAAAAAACACAAGCAATCGATAGATGCGAACGAAATTCTAAACGGCGATCAGGTGGAGGAAATTAATCACCAAAAGAACAGTGATTCTGCTGAATTCTCCAATGAGCTTAGTAGTGATTCAAATGTGGTGAACTGCATGGAAACTTTACCATCATGTAGCACAGCACCTATTCGAAGCAGCGACACGATTTGCGATTCATTATCGACTGGCATCGAAGCTCTAGGGATTCAAGATGAAAATTCTGTGACTGAAAAAGCCGAAGAAAACCACGAAAAAATCGACTTTGTCCCATACGATTCGGAACTGCAGATGCCCATGATTATGAAGATAATCCAGAAAGACTTATCAGAGCCATACTCCATATATACGTATAGGTATTTTATTCATAATTGGCCGAAACTGTGTTTCCTGGTAAGAAACATCCACACCTGTGTTGTCGTAATTTCTGATATTTAATATTTTTTTAGGCCATGTGCGAGGGCCAATGTGTAGGTGCAATCGTGTGCAAGTTGGATTTGCATAGAAAAGTCGTCAGAAGGGGTTACATTGCCATGCTTGCAGTAGATCAAAAGTATAGGAAATTGAGAATTGGTTCCACACTTGTTCAAATGGCCATTCACGAGATGACCCATGGTGATGCAGATGAGGTATTAATAACATTATTTTAATTTAGTCAACACGTTTCGCTAGCACCTATTGTTGACTTCTTCAGACGAGTGTCCTCACTCACACAGCGAAGCAATTTTTGGCACACAGCTTCAACTACTGTTTATTTCTTAATTTAGTAAATTCATAAATATTGGTTCATTTACAAAGAGGGAGCTGCTTTTAACATTACAAAGTACAAATATGGGCGATAAGCCGTTCCTACGCAAATTCCGTGAATTTCTCATAAAGATGCCATTCTAATAGAAATATTCAGCCGATAACGTTTGAAAGAGACGATGGTGTTATCTAATACGAAATATTTGACTGACTCCCGTCTGATAACAAGACTTTCAGAAACTCAAACAATCCATTAGAAATAACTTACACTATATGTATACTGTTTTAAAAGGAATGTTTTTTTTTTAGGTGGTTCTCGAAACTGAAGTGACTAATAAGCCGGCATTAAAACTGTATGAAAAATTAGGATTTGTTAGGGACAAGCGATTGTTCCGCTACTACTTGAATGGCGTGGATGCGCTACGATTGAAACTATGGCTAAGATAGGGGTACGTGTCAAAAAACCACCCTTTATATTCACTCGCTACCAGTAGTAGCACAGACTGGTTGTTTTGGTGGGGATTTTTTCTTTTCTGTTTGCTGACATTTTCAGTTAAAAACTGTTACCGCTACTTGCTGTTTAATTTCGTTCTTGGTGAATAGTGCAACTGTTTTTGACCATCATTATCCCAAAATTTGCTTGTTGATGCGAAAACTTTTTACAGTTACATATCAGCGCAAATGTTTTTGTCTTAACCAAGATAAATCGGAAAAGTTTTATGGAAATCTTAATGCTTACAAGAAACAGTCTCCTTAATCAGTCACTAGATGGTTTGTCTTAGGTGTGATAAAGTAATTTTTTATTGATGGAAGTCTAGTTCAGTTTCTCCCACTTAATGGGAAAGTAGTCAGTTGATGAAAATTTTTTGTTTGCTGCTTCCTTTGTACACTTCAAATGTTTATATTGCGACGCAGAAATTCATAGTTTATTTTTGGTTTCCTCATACCGAAGAGGAGACTGGATGATTCGGTACACAAAAATCGATTTCACGCCTTTAACAATAAGGCAATAATGGATACAAATCAATTTTAACAAATTCGAGGAAAATCGATCCGTTTTTTTGTAATGGATTTAAACATAACGTAATATTAAATATACCTATATTGTAAGACTAATTGTGTGCTTAAGTGAAATTGAATTTATTACCGTTCAAAGAGGGAAGAAGCGTTTTTAAGGTGTTGCATGGTGGCATTGAAACGGGCGTCTTTGCTCACTTGCCCTCAATTTTCATTCAAACGATTAAAAAGCTTTATTCCTGTCGTACAATTTACTCTCGAAGCCCTTGAATGTGTAGATCGATCATACCTCTTTGTTTATAATTATGTATATTTCTGTATATAGGGAACTTTCAATGTTTTACTTTAGTGTTGTAATAAACTGAAATATACCAAATTTACTAATTGATATTTATTTCTATTATTGCATTGAACATTTCTGCTCCTAATCGAGATAAATGCAAAAAAATCGTATTTTCTGTTAGTTCATAAAATTGAATCGATCAAAACGCTCATATTAAGGGAAGGGTTTAAAAAACGATTAGGAAACAGTTACAATACATCTAAAACTTTGTCAATAAGATCTAGTCAAAAATGAGTTAAAACTACTAAAATCACAGATACAATTAAAATATGTATGCAGATTATTTTATTGCCTAAACTAGTAGCGCAGTAGTAGCAAAGGATGAGATATATTAAAGCTTCTCTAAACTGAAGTAAGTCCTAATTGAACTTCTTAACATCTACACCCAACCAACACGTAAGCATCCTCCGTGCAGTCTCACTGCCTTTATTTCCATGTATATACAGAAACGTTAAGTAAAATTTAAAATCATTTAAACTACTAGCCGTAGTTAATGAAAGTTAAAGTGATAAAAACGGACAGTCTGCCGCAATAAATAAAAAGCCATTACTTGCCCTTTTTCTAAAATTTCCGGTCGTTAGCAACGCTAGCGGCCAAATCTGCAAAACTAGCTGCAAAATCCATACTATTCTCAGTCATGAGTGATTGGAGTTGTGCATCCATTTCATTTGACAAATCGCTTGCCATGTTCGTATTTAAAGCCCCAAGAGCCGAAGTCCCCTTAACTGGGCTTTCCAAGTGGCCCAGTAGGCTGCTTAGGGAGTAATCCGCTACATCCGCATTGATCCACTCACTTTCGCCCTCCTTAAGAATGCGCGATGGACTCGGAGGCACCTTAAGCGAAAACCAATCATAATCGTTTAGTCGTGTATTTATGGCAACTTACTGTTGAAATAACGCTGTTTTCTTCATCGGGATCCGTGATTTCTTCTTGCCCACCAATTTCTGCTGAGTCCACTAAAGTTTCAGCTTTAATAGCGGCCGCTTCTTGAGAGATTATACTCATTCTAACGATTTGATGCCCGCTCAAGTTATTCGGCATCAGCGGAAGCTGCAAGTTACACAAATAATTTTTTTTTCGTGCAATAACTGGGGTTTAAAACCTACTTTTCGCTCGACCACCAGCTGTTTTTGCCTCGGCCTGCGGCCTTTCCGGTTGCAAAACTTCGGCTTGAGTTTTTGAATGGAGTTCAACTGTTGTTGCATGGTGGGCACCGGAACATCTAGAAACAATTCGGGCGCTTAATTTCAATTTGCGAGAATAAATACCAAAACGTACTATTGGCAAGTATATGGGTCGGGGGCCGAAACACATTGCTGGAAACGTGGGCGTTTCCATTTGGCACAATACTAGAAGTTGTAGCAGCCGCATTATCCACTTGCATTGAACTGGATCTCAAATTGTTATCCAGCGCCGAACTGTTTCGTTTGTTTGGCCGCGGGCCTCCGATAGTGGAAGTTTTCATGGATTTGTCGTTGCAAACATGCCCACAAGCGCACTTTTTTTCAAAAAAAAACATCAATTTTCAGGAAAACTGTGGCGAATTATCGACGCAAGATCACCTTGGCACTGTTGGGTCTATAATGCAGCTTAGCTAAAGACAGGAGCTTTGAAAGGGCCGACGTCAAGTTCCGCTGCTTCATTTCCCAGGACTCTTCGTAGGAGTCATTCCACATTTCCAGAAAATTTGCTGATTTCCCCACACATATATCAACCTAACTCAACATTAACATAACACCTTACCTGCAACCTTCTTCTCTTGCCTGTTCGCATTCTCTTTGCTATCGCCATCCCAACCATATTCCAGAATCAGTTTTCCATCAGATCCATACATGAGATAAATTTCCCCGATCATCAAGCTCTCACTGGTGGCCTCCGTCCATCCCTTTTTTATATTATCAATGTGTTCCAGGTCTTCTTCGCTCACTTCTTTCGGCTCGCTCTACAAAAACCAGTTAGGAAAATTCACACTTTGATCGACTGAAAAAACCTTCGGTGGTGAATCGCGCTTTGCAATCTCAGGTTTGGATGGCAAGTCCTCGTTTTCACTTGCCTCAGACGAAGGACGATCGACCGTTTGCAAAGCCAGAATGGTATTTACAGCGTCATGAATGGCTTCAGCCAATGAGGCATCTGGTTCGTTATCATCGTAGCTGTTTACCTACAAAAATGTGCATAGAGATTTTAACTAGTTTTATCCGTGCTGTCTCACCTCGCTTTCTTCCATTTTCTCTTGTTCACATTTAACCACGCTTCCACTGGTTTCAGCAACTTTACAATCAACGCCCGGCTCAACCTTAAGCTCTATATCTAACTTGGACTTTTTCTTTTTGGGAATTTGCGTTTTAAGCTCTCTGAACGTGTCGATTCCCAACCGGCTTTCATACGCAGTTAAGCAAATCGTTTGCCTATGGAAAACAATCACCACATTAACACCCAGATTGGCAATGCGTCATTCGCTTCTTACCTAGTGAGATATTCACTGATGTTGATCGCGGGCAGTTCGATTTTCGCATCAGAAGGAGGGCTCAGCCTTAATGGAGGCTTGACCAGCATCATTTTTTCATCGACTTCTTGCTTTGCAGGTACGCAGTCGCTTGTAACTGGATTGGTGGAAACCACCGCTTGTTCGTAGTTCTGGGCGTCGACAGACTTCCATCTTTTGCTCAGACATTGGAGAAGCGATCCCAAACGTTTCTGAATGGGCAGCGTGGTCTTTAGTCGGGGATTCTGAGCTAAAGACTGCACTCTCATGTAGGAAGCAATGTCTTTGGGTCTCAGCTCAATGGTCACTCGGTTCGGCAATTTTACTTCTTCATACTTCTGGTCAAGCTGATTGAGCTTCACCAAAGCTCGACACATCGGAGTTTTGATTTTGTTGTTCTTGCCTGCAATTAGCGGGGCGTAATACGGAAAACTATTTAGCGCAAATTTTCAAAATTACACACCCTTTACTCTAATAATGGTTTCTCCAGTGTAAATTAGCTGACTGAGTTTCATGAAGGTTTTATCGGTGATTACTCCAAGCTTCTTGTACAGTTCTCCATAGTTTATCACCCCATACAATTCTTGAACAAGTTTTTTGATGTTCTCGGAAAACTTTACGTGCTTGGAGACGTCGTGGAAGGTTCGCATAAAGCACGTCCGCACTAAAATTGAACGATTGGGCATCACTTAGAGGATTGAAGTGGTATATTGCGTGATTACCATGATCCTTTGTTTTCAATTGATCCTCAGAGGCGCCCTTCTTTTTGAGTTTTGCGTTGATGTACTGCTGGATGCTTTCAAAGTCTTTGCCGAATTCGTTCACAGCCTCAAAGAACATTACCCGGTCTCGGTAATTCCATTTTCGCAGCTCTTTTTTGATGTCCGGTTTCGGTTCTTCTTTCTTAGGCTTCGATTCCTTTAGAAACCAGACGGAATTTAGTTAACTTTCAACTACCCATATGGAACTTTAAGGAAAACTGCAGTCGACTTTGGAAAATCAGAGGAATCTTGAACGATGGCGTTTTATATGAAAAACAGGAACATTTTCCTGTTAATGTTTTATATAGAAAACTGCCCATTTTAATCCTGTATTCAGTGAGCCTTTCAGCCGAAACTATTGTGACTGAACAACAAACACATTACAGAAGAGAAGAAAAACGGGCTATTTAATGATCTATCCAGTAAGGACAAAGCAAACTCTGTAGCTCAAACGGTGCTAAACCTAGGAGGACAAAACCAGGAAGCAATCGGAAAAATGTACTTTGACGTTCTGTAAAAAAACCAGAAATTTCTCTAGAGTAACATTTTATATAGAAAAAAGAGCGCAATTCATGGATCTATCGACCAGTAGCAAAATCAACTCGGGAGCTCGCAAGGTTCTGAAAATACGCACCAAAAACTAGGAACCAGTTGGGAAAAATTAAGCAACTCAAACTTGGATGTCGGGTATAAAAACCAGAAGTTTTTCCAAATAAACTCTTAAAGAAGAAAACTTAGGAAAATAGAGGAATTCAAGGCCCCATCGAAGAAACCCATTCACACCAACTTACTGCAATCGTGGCAGGTTCTTGTTTAACCACCTTCTTAACCACTCTTGTGCTGCACCTGATCGGTTGGCCTTTCCCTTCATTTTCCATAGGAAAGAGCCCACTCTGATGCTGATCTGCGTTGGGAGATGTTAAACCAGCATCAACGCTATTGATATCTTCATTCTGAAAGCAATTAAGTTGATTTTTTAAATTGCTAATACATTCATGATGGCTGCTCTGCTTTACTAATTCGTCCAAAGTTTATTTTTTTGTGTTTGTAGCTTTTGATGTTAACTGAAGGCAGTTAGGGCGTGGAAAAACTAGGTAAAAAGCCTTAAAAACCCCAATTGGAGCAGTGGATTAACGTCTTTAACCTTTTTATCATGCTCCTGTTCCAGCTTCATCTTCTTGAAAACTCTGGCACTTGATCGGATCTGGACGCCTTTCTCCTCCTTGACCACTGTGTTTGTGGTGATCGAACCCAAAAGAACCTCCCCAGTTAAGGGGCCAGTCAGAGGCTCTTTTCCAGCTTTCGGATTTTCCTCATTTGCCTCGTCCACTTCCATTATGTGGTGTGGATTCTGGCGTTGCAGCGGCATCAAGAACCGGCGATTTATCACTCAGCAACAGTTAATTCCGAACAAAAACTGGACCCTCATTCTTTTCACTCACCAAACCCTCAGTTTCGACCGAAAAACCGTAAAACCTCCCTCAAAATCACCGATTTCTTTTAACATTTTTGATCACTTTTGCCAGTTCCGAACTATTATTATTGTTGAAGGAGGAGGATAATAAATCATTTGAACCGTACATAAACACGGCGAGCAGCGTAAAGCATGTTTCATCTGTGTTTAACTTGCGGTGCTCAAAAGAGATGGATAAAGCACGGTGGTTTGGGACTTGTGATAGGTGGCCCCTGCTTCTAGGCAACTCAACGTCCCCGATTCTTTACTGGGTGCTAGATGATCAGAGGCCTATCGCCCAATTTTCCAAAATCCAGACATCTGTGATGTAGTCAAGATAGATATAGCAGCAGTTGGAATTTCCAGACTGGTTTTAGTTTCTCTGAGGGCAGGAATCTGGAGCTCACTTCCACCTTCAGCTTCTAGATGGCTCTGCCAGAATTGCACTGCGCCAGCACTCAGTGTTCTGTAATAGTAGTTTTCGATACAAGGGTGAAAAGTGTGTTTTTCGAACGACGACGGCGTTTGACACTCGAGGCGAAGTTGAGGGTGTCAATCCGTCGGGAGTTAGAAAAACGGATTTTTGCCCAAAACAATAGTTTTTATTCGAATAAAGGACATAACACGAATAATAAGTTATAATAAATAAAAATAAACGAAAATAAAAGCCGTCAACTTCATATTTAAAATTTGATGTCAATTCCATTTTTGAAATTGTCATGTTTTGACGTTTGTAATTTTTCAGAAGCGTACTTTTGTAAGCACATACATATACAAGTGAAACAATGAGTGTTGAAAATTCAAGTGCTGCTTTCACGGTATGGTGTTTGTATCAGATGCATATTTCGCATAAAATTTGCGATCTTTAAAAAATCGTGTCTTGCTTGGAGCAACATCAGCGAATGAAAAAAATAGACCATTTGAACGACTTTGAGACTGAACTTGTAACAGAATTATAATTTACAAATTGTAAGTAAACTTTAAATTATGATCAATAGATCTCTATAAACCTACGTAATTCATTAAAAAAGCCTGTCGTTTACTTTTAAATAAAGTCCGTGCGTAAAAGTAAATCAAATGAACAGTAAAGAAAAGTGCTTTTTTTTGGTCATCGCTTCTGATCGAACAATGGCACTTTTAGATTCATTCGAATAAAAAGTTTTTTTAAAACCGAATCAGAAGATTATCAGAAATAAGATAAACTTAGTGTTCTGAGTTAATTTATACGCAAAACAAGTGTGATTGTGCAGTTTCCGAGAGAAAATTCAGACATTTAGAGGGAGAAAACAGTTTTTTTTACATCAAGGGCTAAATCAAGGAAATTTTGCAAAAATCTTGATCGAAAATCTCTATTAAAGTAACTTCTGAGTTAAACACCAAGACTCTAATTTTTCAAAGAAAAAATTGCCATTTTAACCGGCGTTATTTTCATAATAAAGTTCACGCACTTTAAGAAAAAAATTATCTTCAAACTCGGGATGAAATTGAAAACGTTTATGAAAGTTTGTTTTTAGACCGTTTCTGAGCGAAACAAACAGGCGTTTACAGATTCGCGGTTCAAATTTATTAGAAGCCAAAAACATATTTTGTGGCTGGTTTTGGAAGGATTTTACGTTTTTCTTTCTAAAATACAAAAAATCTTTTTTAGCCTTGACTGAATAAAACAGCAAAGCTTCAATTGTTCATGAAAAAAGTCGTCACTTCTATAATGAAATGCATCCATTTAAAGGCAGAAAACCATTTTCATGGCTGATTTTTTTGCATCAAATTTGTTCTATTTTTTTAAATGTAAGCTTCAATTAACAGCATTTATTTGATTGATTTTTGGCAATATTTGCAAAACTGACAGCGCTAAAATTCCTGCAAACTGCATTTTTTACGGAGAAAAACGGAAATTTTTGCGTGGAAAGAAGGGCGGATTCTTATCAGGGGCGTCTTCTACTTAAACGAAGCTGTAACTTTATTGATAGCAAGATTTTGTAATTTTTATATTCAAGCTACCGAATTTAGTCACATTTTTCCTTGTAACAGTGGCGTAGTTCTAGGGCGAAATGGGCTGGTTTGGCCCCAAAAATGTGCGCTGGAACAAGGTAAGTTTTAAGCAGATTTTACGCTCAACCACTTTCAGTACAGGCTTAAGAAAACTTGAAAAAAAAAACTTTAGACATATGGAAATATTGCTATAGATAATTTTCGATACCAAAATTATTTACATTTTTTAGGAGCACGCACACTGCAATAAAAACACTTCTTGCCATAAGAAAATTGTTGCAATTCGCAACTTTCACTTTCTCCCATAAAAAAGCAGTTTTTCCCGCATAAACATTTCCATTATATTACACTTCCAGCACGGTTATTTTCGTGGCCAAACCAGTCCAGTTTCTCCAGTCTATTTCCAATCCACTTTGCACATGCAAGTCGTCTGTTAATTAGAAATTACAGCCCGACTGAAAGCCAAACAGTCTGCGGTTCATGAATGATTCCGACTAGTGCTTCTGGATTCTAATCCAAGAATAAATGCGAAATTCAGTGTCAAACAGCAGCCAAATCGCAAATAGAAAACACCTGCCCATCTTCAAATGAATCCAAAGACAAAACAGTTGCTGTTCCGATTTATTAGATCAAACCTAAAGTTGCAAACGTTCCAAAAATTATGGGAATAAGGGATAAATATTAACGTCTAAAGTGGAACACCCCAAGCTGTTGTTTTCACAATTCACCCCCAATTTCTTTTCCAAGCGTTTTAAGGGTGGAACACAAACATATAATAGGTAAATGTGGTACTAGAGCAGCCAGGGGCGTACTTAAATATGTATTAAAGTTCAAAAAATTGGCCCAAACGTTTCAAAATCCTTGTTCAAACTTTCTTCTGCCTGATTGCTCTCGAAAATGAACAAACAGAGCTTGAGATCGAACATGAAGAAGCCGCAAATTAGAATCAAGGAAAGAAGCAGATGATTAAAGAAGAACTAAATGAAAAAAATTGTGCATTGTGAATAAAGCAACAAGTGAAAATACCACACCACAGCTAAATCAAACTAGTTTTCAACAACTGCAAGGTTAGTTTGGGAAAGCAAAATCAGGTGGAAATTTCTGAAGAATAGGTTGAAGCTTTGGAAGACACGAAGAGCAAAAGCTGAAAGAATGTAATTAATGAAAAACATTCATCAGAAACTAGGCAAAAGCGCTCAAGGGAAATAAAGAAAAACCCATGATTTTCTGGAAAACCCGTCTGCTTCAACTAAGTTGATAATGATCAAAATCTTTGGGAACTTGAGTTGGGTAGATTAAGATTAAAGCCGTGCCTGCTCAAGAGGGTCTTTCGTGGTCCCAAAATTTCAGTGTGTTTTTCCACCCGAGCCACAACACTGCCAACTACACAAGTGCGGTCTGAAAATTAGTATTCAAAACGGTTTCCAATCGAATACAATTAGAATATTTAAGGTCAGAAGCGGAAGTAGCAGTACTGAGCCGTTCGTACCGGCAAAGTAGTTTCTAGAAGTGTTTGTTTCGAGCCGTTTTTCCAATCGACGAAAGCGGATCTTGCGATTCGCTTCTTGTAATTATCGGCGAACTTCCGAAATCCTGTGCTTTTCGTTTTGTGGTCGACTTTGTGATGGTTCTCTGGAACCTCAGGTTCTTCCCTGGTTTGCCTTTCAAGTAGCTGGACATTTTCAACCTTTCGAAGATTCAGAGTGCTGTGCTTTGTTGGCCGGTTTCGGTGGTAGTTTTTTTCGAAGAAAATCGCCAATCTGATCAGTGAAAACGTTCGGGAAAATGCTGAAAAACTGGCATCGGAACGCAAGCGCGCGTTTATCCACCTCGTTTCGAAAATAAATTCTATGGCGGGATTCAGTCGCGTTTTGCGTATCGAATTTATCGGTTTGTGACTGCCAGCCCGTCAACTTGCGCTTCTTCTTTACGAATCTCGACCGGAAAATATTATGTTGTCGTGGTTCTTCAAGTTTTTCTCTTCGAGGTGTTTTTTGCGATAAAGTCGCTCGGATATTTCGAGACGCATGGCGGATTTTAAGGCGGTCGGGGTAAGTTCACATCTTCTAATTCATTGATTAGAAATAAACTACTGTTTTGAATCAGACGAAATTGTTGTGAAAAATTGCATCAATTTTTACACTCAAACAATCTCGAGCTGGAAACTGGTGACATTCTCAAGCTTTTGACAAGTTTTCGAAAACTCGTACTTTTTATTCTTTATTTGTTTAAACTTTTTTTCTCATTAATTATGTCTTTTCGCCTTTTTTCATTCGTGTCTTTTTTGTCTCTCAAACCTCCAACTTTCTTCCCCATTTTGCTTCCACAAACTTTTGCTTTTGGTTCTTCTTTGACCATCAGCTTATTTCTTTGATTCGGCGACTGTATCATTTGTGATTTTGTATTCGTCATTTTTATATTAATCGCTCCTTGTTCATTTTCAATCACAAATCCAACGTTTACTTTAAGGGCGTCAGAAGAGAGTTTGAAGAAGGGTTTTTGGGAGTGAGGTGAGGGAAACCAACTCTGAAGATGCAGACTACTCATGCTTGCGAAACATCAGAAATAAATTCTTTTCCACAATGAAAACCCGAAAAACTCACCAGGTTTGAAGCAATAATTCCTAAAACCCAACGTTTTTTTCGAGTTTTCCGTGTTTTTAGGACGTCATAAATTCGAATTTCTGTCTGATGTTGTCGCCAGCACGAGTGGTTTGCACCTTCAGAGGCAAAACCTTTTTTTTGGTCTGCCAAACTGTTTATTAATACATATTTAACTCCTTTTTATATGATCGTGATTATCAAGAAGCTTCGGAACATGGTAAAACCCTTTAACTTTTCTCTTCTATCTGTTTGTTTTTTATTGAAAATTCCTCACATTGTTATGTTCTTCTGGTAGTGGCGTGGCTTCATCACGTTTTAATCGATAAACAACCCAAATGTGGAGAAAAACTTGCAAGAAACGAATTTTTTACCATCACTTGCTGATGGCTAACTGATCCAGACAATTCCTCTCGAAAAATCCATTAAATAAGAGTTATCCTGACTGGCGCGAATTAAATAGACGATGAATGACAAGAGAATGAAAAAAACCTACATAGAAAAGTGAAAAAGCTGCCTTTGGTGATGAAAATCAAATGCCCTGACAAAGACATAAACAATAGAAGAACACAATACCTTCACTAAAAGGCAGAAAAGTCGTTCCATGAAAAATGATAGGTTTCCACTACGTAGCGTCATTAAAGGCGCATCTTTTACATTAACAAATGGACGTCTCGTGACATCGCAGCGAAGCGAACACACAATAGAAACCTTTTGATAAAAATGCACTTTCAACTGGAAAAATATGCATTTTTAGTACCGGGAAAAAGCATTGCTGCCAAACATTAACAGTACACATGGCACGAATAATAAAACATCCAAAAATACATCCAGAATGGAGACCAAACAGGCGAGACCTGAGACAGACAGTGGAGATGCCCTTGGAGCACGCTTTCATGCCAGATTTAGTTCCATGCGAATTATTGCTTTATTTGCGCTGTTTCGCTGACACATCATCTGTGTCTGGATTCTCTTTGCTGCCGAAACACTCGGTAGAAATCCGCTGTTTTATTTGATGTAACTCATAAAAAATATATTTTCGTAAATCCAGTGGGAAGCTGTCGGTTTCAAGGCTTATTTTTAGCAAAAGGACTATGCCCAGAAAAAAAACCACTAGTGAAAGGTGATTTTTGAAGCAAATGTTTAACAAGTTGAATGTTCCAAAGTAGGTTTTTGCGTGGCTGACACACACTTGATAGTTAAATAAGAGAACTGACTGACTACTGAACAATCAATGATAAACCACAAAACCCTCAAATAATTTTTGTATCAATTAAACTCCGGTTCGTGAACAAACTGCGGCAAGAATTGCGTTTAAAAGTTAGTTGAATCCAAAGACTGTTGCTCCGAAAATACTCCGAAAGCTTGTTCAATCCAGGATTAATTATGCTTTTAGCCGGTTAGTTAGTAGGAACAGTTTTGGCTGAATGTTCCACATAAAGAAGCTGGAGGTATGGCTTGCATTTACGCGACGAGCGTTTAATTTGTTTGCTATTACAACCGTGAAATTGTGTTATTTAAAAGTCACATCTGTTCCAACTTGGTTTTTCCAGTTGAAATTTGAAGTTTTCCAAGTTGATTTTCCTGCATGCAACTGGTCGCAATGCGCTAATTTGGCCTTTCTTTCCAGTCAGAGCCGAAAAAACTGAATGTTACGCGACTTTTTTCAGCTTCACGGCTTTCAAGTCGGAAACCTTCCGAGAACGGTTCATTAGAAAGCTTAAAATATCCATTAGCGCTGGCTTTGGTAACCAGATGTGGGCTCGGGACAATAGAAAAATATTTTCCTGTGGTGAAAACCTGTCTAAGGTGCGATTTCATACCTTGGATTTTTCCTAATTATGGACATTTTCTCGCTGTTATGGGGGCGTAAAAGTGTTGTGAGATGAGTTTTTGGTGGCTGTCGTGCGAATAGTAACCAGTAACCCAAAAAATCAACTCTTTCAGTCAGGTTCTTAGCATTAAAACTTCCGTTTCAAAAAACAGGATTCAAAGATTTTATGCATCTCACATGTTCCTTGTTGAGATGAGTAAGCAAAAACCCAAAAAAAAAACTAATCATCAACTCTTTGCTCGTGCATGAAACTTCGAGTTTTTTGCACTAAAACTTCCATTTCAAACGTCTGAAGCAATTCCATATTTTATGCAACTCACATGTTCGATATAAAGCAAATAAACACCGTTGAAAGTATCCAACTATGGGCAATCGAAGAGCTCTGGATAAAAGCCGAACGACATATTTTAGAGCTCGAAGTGCGGATTTATATTTCGAGATTAGACTCCATAAAAGATAGCTTCGCATAATGGAGGACAGAATTCGGAGCTATTCGAAGCTGGCCATGTGGAAACGCCACTACCATTTTGTATTGTACAGTCGATAGATAAACGTAAAGTTTCAGTTAATGTTGAGGCTTCCGCACATCCGATCCATCCGACGTCTTTTTCACACCGTAAACCCATGACTTTTCAATTCCAAAGTTCTGGCCTAATTTACTGCGGAAGTTGAGTATCTCGAACTTCCGATCTGTCGGGATATTTTTAATAGACACCTAAAGTGCCACATGGGATCGGGAATTTCAGTATCTGGTTATAATTAGTAGCTGTAAATAACGGAGATAACTGTACGTCAGCTGGACTAAAATAAGGTTTTATCATCAGAATCAGAGCCGTGATCCTTTGGAAAATCTCTCTTAATCACTGAAAAATAGTGAAATTACTTCAAGCAACGTCTTATCTTCAAGCTTCCAGAACCACCCTGCTTTAATAACATTAAACTCATAAGCGACCCGGTTTTAAGTGAAACATTATGAATTAAGACGTGATTATTTTGGAGGGCTTTCCATTGTCGCTTTAATTTTCGCCACCATTAAAACATCATCGCAGACTGTGAAAGTATGCCAGAGGCCAAAGATTTTTCCATTTAGAAAACGGGCGACTCGTTTTTCATTTGAGACCCGCGAGAATTGGGAACTAGAAAACTGATTTTTTGCAGAAAACCCCCTGGAAGAAAATCTGGAACGCAAAAAAAAACTGTAAGTTGAATGTTCTGCACTCTATTAATAACTTACTGGGTCATTTGTGGACGGAACTGCGGCCAGATGGGTATTAAAACAGAGCAAACTTAAACAGGACATCGATGTTTTACTCGGATATCGGGAAAATTGCGATTACTGTTAGTTATTGGGAAGGAAAAACTCACATGTTCTGATCTGATCTGTGCTCAATTACGAAAAACATATAATGAAGGAAAACGAAACGCAGCCCGTGTGAAAATAACCGAAATTGGACACCACAATATCAATAGACTCCTGTCCTCCTGTGTCTCTGGGGAATTTAATTTTTTTGGGCACGGAAAAAGTTCCTCTGGCAATAAATCCAATTGATCCCGACCGCTACTGAATTCTCTATTGAGGCAATAAAATAATACAACTTGCGAGCCCATTTTTTTTGTTTTTGGATAATTTCCAGCAATCCTTTTAAAATATATAAGACCAAAGGCTTTAGACGATATATTCTGTCCTTGATGTACTTCACTTTGCGCCGTCATATTTCCTTTGAAAAGCCTTTTACCAAGATCTCTTTCGACTGTACGAAAAACCTTCCATAAGAGGCCTCTTGACCCATATACCGAGCCAAAGCGAATTTTTTCCTTAAATGCTTCAAAGTTATCTGCAGCATTAATTCGATAAGCTTCCTTATGGCGTATGGCAACAACTTTAATATATTGTTTAATGATGACATAACAACGGGAATGGCCTCAAGAGAATCGTCGAGCAGTCGGACAAATTAAATAATGACTTCCATTTATCGTTTAAATCTCCGTAGACTCTTAAATTAAAAGAAATGACACAGATGGACCCCATTAGGATTACTGGCGTGATCTACTGAGGTCAAGTGCCTTAAAGAATCATCGTAATTTCAGTTTCTGCCTGTCTTGTACGAGGCTTGTCTAAACACACGTTGGAATCTGCTTCTTTCGTCTTTTTTAAATATTTACAGCCCTCAACGTCTAATTTATTGCTATTTGAACGAGAACAATGGTTGTGGTTGTCTGTTTTCGTTGGGTTTTGGGTGGTCTTTACCAGAGACCTTTGCCTATGCAAATAAGAAAATACCAAACCATTTTAGGCATTTGTTATTAAATCGAATGCAGTTTTTTCTTCGCCTTATTTTTCTTCACTATTTTAATAAAAACACGCACATCACAAAACGACTTAAAGTGAAAAATGGATTAGATAAACGCGAAAACTAAACGACAAGCAAACAACACAGAAATTTCAAAGAAGAGCATCATATTTAAGGCTTTGAAGCATTTTAACATCGTCAACATTCGACTTTTGCGAGGCATTTTGCGAAGCAAAACGGGAAAACTGCACAAACAAAGATGTGTTTTAAAAGCCCCGAGAGTTTCGAATAGCGGCCATCATCAGGGTTTTAAAATAGTTTCCCAC